AGCAATAAAGCAAGGCTTACACAGAGCAGAGGAGCAAGGACAGACCAGAAAACAAGAGCATCACAGCACAGAGTCGAATGCTTCTCTCTGAGTCTGAGCTCATTTGGAAGCAGCATGAGCTCCATCCAGAGAGCTAGGTGAGAACTGCATGTAAAGACAGACCGAGTCACCTAGCCTTGTTAAAAGCATTCTTTGCAGACTGGTTTTCAGATGAATCATAGAATCCTAGGATGGTTAGGGTTGGAAGGGACCTTAAAGATCATATAGTTCCAACCCCCCTGCCATGAGCAGGGACACCTTCCACTAGACCCCAGGTTGCTCAAAGCCTCATCCAACCTGGCCTTAAACACTTCCAGGGATGGGGCATCCACAGCTTCCCTGGGCAACCTGTTCCAGTGTCTGACCACTCTCACAGTGAAGAATTTCTTCCTAATATCTAATCTAAACCTACCCTCTTCCAGTTTAAAGTCATTACCCCTTGTTCTGTCATTAACTGCCCGTATAAAAAGTCCCTCCCCAGCTTTCTTGTAGGGCCCCTTCGGGTATTGGAAGGCAGCTATAAGATCTCCCCTAAGCCTTCTCTTTTCCAGGCTGATGATCTGGTTTAAATCCACATTTCAATCACAGAAAAGAGGAATGGAGGGAGGATAGAAGAAAATTATTAGATATTATCTCATATTGTTTTGCTACAGAGGGAAAATCAAACTTTAACTCCAAAGCATAGAAGAGTGATTCTCAGAAATCAAGGCTGCAAGGCTTCTCCCTGTGTCAAATGGACTAGTTGATTTGATCCTTTTAATATGGTTTGGGTTCATCAAATTACTAGTGTCCTCTGTGAGTAACCTAAAACAACAGAATAGACACAAAGAGAGTCACAGAAAAACATTTCAGTGATTAGATGGAGCTGACAGTCTGCTTACAGAAAAATTCAAGCACTGATTCTACTAGAGGGCCTTTTGTAAGTCCTTCAGAAGTCGATGATCCTTTTGACTGCAAAGCATCAGGCTGACAGCAAGGTATACAAGTTTGGCCTCAGAGCACGAGAAAGGTGGGCATCAGTCAGAAAAGAGGCAGCAAAACATGTAAAACAGTGAGTATCTGAATCACAGAGAGGATTTGCAGTTAATTCTCTTTAAAGCCTGCCAGGTCATTTGCATTACAGTGTTGTCATCTAAAGATACAATCACAATAAGGAACAGAAGAGTAGTCTAAGATGAGATGTTTTTCTAGGAAGGTTCTCCACGCTCACAGTCTGGACATCCAGATCCTGCATTGACCCTATTCTTCTTTCAAGAGATTAGTAAAAATTTTGTTAATGACCCAAATATGCCTGAAGTTAAAGAAAAGGCTAATGACAAATTAAATGGAACACATCAATCAGGCCCAGTAAACAAAAAACACCAGGTTTCTGCAGTTATTTTCTTTCTAGAGCATTCAAAGTACTCAAGAATGCAATGAGATTAAAAATACAGAGGAAAGCCAAGTATAAGAATCACAGTAATTTCCGTGTAACTTAAAGTTCTGCTGTAGAGCTTCATGCAATAGCTCTACTCTGCATGGCTATAACAGACAATGTGACAGCTACTGATGAAAATATAAAAGAGAAAGACATCTAATAACCTCCTTTCTTCACTTAACTGATAAGAAGAACAGAACATAATAGAACAGAATATAGAATATTTCAGTTGGAAGGGACCTACAATTACCATCTAGTCCAACTTCCTGACCACTTCAGGGCTGAACAAAAGTTCAAGCATGCTATTAAGGGTTTTGTCCAAATGGCTCTTAATCACTTACAGGCATGGGGCACCAACCACCCCTCTAGGAAGCCTATTCCAGGGTTTGACCACTCTCTAGGTAAAGAACTGCTTCTTAATGTTAAGTCTGGTCCTCCCTTGATGCAGCCTTGAACCTTTCCCATGTGTCCTGTCACTGGATACCAGGGAGAAGAGATCAGGACCTCCCCTTCAACTTCTCCCTCTCAGGAAGCTGTAGAGCACAGTGAGGTCACCCTTTAGCCTCCTTTTCTCCAAATTAGAGAAGCCCAAAGTCCTTAGCTGCTCCTCAAACGATATGCCCTCAAGAGCTTTCACCAGTTTTGTTGTCCTCCTCTGAATGTATTCAAGTACCTTCACATCCTTCTTAAATTGTGAGGCCCAGAACTGCACACAGCATTCCAGGTGAGGCTGCATCAACATTAAATACAGCAGGATAATCCCCTCTTTTCACCAGGTGGCCATGCTGTGTTTGATGCACCCCTTTTGGCTGCCAGGACACACTTCTGACTCCTACTGAGCCTGCTGCCAGCCAGCACCCCCAGATCCCTTTCTGCAGGGCTGCTCTCCAGCCACTCCTCTCTCCGTTTATACTTCTGCCTGGCATTACTCCATTCCAAGTGCAGAATCCAGCATATGGACTTGTTAAATTTAATCCCATTAATCATTGGCCAATGCTTCAACCTATCTAGATCCCCCTGCAAGACCTATTGTCCCTTCAGAGAGTCACCAGCATCTCCCAGTTTAGTATTGTCAGCAAAGTTGTTACTGGTGCATTCAACTCCTGCATCCAGATCATTGATGGAAATATTGAACAGAACTGGCCCTAGGACTGAGCCCTGAATAACATTGCTGATGACTGGTCACCAGACAGATATAGCCCCATTCACTACAATCCTTTGAGCCTTGCCTTATGGCCAGTTTTTCAACCAGCACACCATGTACCTGCTCATCTCACAGTTGGACAACTTGTCCAGAAGGATGCTATGAGAGACAGTATCAAAAGCCTTTACACTGTCTTCCCTTCACCCACTAGGTGCCCTTATCGTAGTAGGATATCAGATTAATAATGAAGCAGGTGACATCTTTTGTTCTCAAAATAGAAACAAGCAGAAGATGCTCACACAGGACTGAAATTTATTTCCAAGCAGAATATTCTACCCTAATAAAAAAAAAATCCACAGAGGTGTTAGTAACCACAGAGAACTACAAAAGTTGCTTTATGTGTTATTTGGCTCAGCCTAGCAATAATAGGCTAAAATACTACAGTTTGCCTATACAGAATAGCAAAGCAGAGAGTCCTTTCTGTCCTTGATATGAAAGAAGGTACCTTCAGCATCCCATTGGACTCTGTCATAACACTAGTCCCTGTTTTGATAGTGGTCTAAAATGAAAAGTAAAGCTGAGAAGACCCCTAGGACAATACAACTTGCTCTTCAATTCACGAGCAAACTAAGCTGCTTCCTAAACTGTGAAATCCACAGCACTTGCACTATCCTCACAGATGCAGATGACACTTATTGACAAAGAAATTATGCTTTTACAGGTCTGTACAATAAAGTAATATTGGGTTTTTTTAAAACAACCAAACAATCACCACTCCAAAATTCCAGAAACTTAAATGAGATGCTTAAATTGGGAGCAAAGTGCCATAAGCTTCTTAAATGTGTCAACAGAGGGAAACGGGCATCTCTACCTACAAAAGATCTAACCTATCTTCTGAACAAAACTCTTTCTAAATTGGGAAAGGGAGAGTTTTTTAGGGAACTTACTAGTTTGCAGCAATGCTTGTATTGTTTCTCTGCTGAAAGGAAGGTAGCAAATTTTGAACAAAATGGTGAAGCAGTTTGTTTGCTAGAAAAGTCAACATCAGACTAGCATATGACTGTAAAGGTATTTAGAAATACCTCTAATTAAGGAAATAATTAGAAAATAATCTTGTTCTTATTTTGCACCACGTTTGTCAAATATCTAAATTACAGATCATTATATTTCTCAGGGTATTTCTAATAAAAAACCAAGCATAACAGCCAGTAACAAGTAATAACTGCAGTCCATTTACCATCAGGTTAGCAGAAAATAAATGGTATCTTACTGTTTTTCTCTTGCTATAGAGTTTATTGGTGCGTTTATGCAGTTCTATTTCATTTGCACATCTGTGAAGAACACTGCTGTGTAAAATGTAAATGGGTTGTATATGGAATTTAAAACTTTGCAATGATAAAATATCTCAACAGCCTTTTCATCAGAATTACCAAAAAACTTTGAAGTCTGTGTTTGTTTTTAAATCAAAACACCACTATTTTTATTCAAGCACAGCAAGCAGGAACAGTTCAGCTGCACTTGCATATCAGTTTATTCAAAGAGGGTATTTACTAATTCACTGATATCCCATTACCTCAACAAATAAGGAGACGGTCCTACACATTGCCCTCCACTCTTTGTGCCTCTTGCAACTACTGCTCTGAGGGAAGAGCTCTGCATTTGGACAAGCTCCCTTTCCACATTTCACATGCTGTAAACATGGAATAGAGTAAAGAGGGAGCCTTGAGTGCCTCCTCTTGCCTTTACCTTTACCTCCTGCATTTTATTGTCACTCCATCTGAAAGTAATCAGGATCAGTAATGCCATTCTTGATCATAACACTTCATAACTGGCATTATTCTATCAGGAGATGGGTGTTCAGCTGGGATGGTCATTGCAGTCCTAGAAGATGGCTTTCAAGCTAGGCCTCCTATTGTGACACTGAAGAAGGTACGAGACCTGGACTATTCTCATATCCTTCTTCTAGGCTGGAACCTCCATCTTCACACCAAACACCCTCAAGCTGTCCCAGACATTTTAGACACTGTTTTCTGTTTGTTGGTTGGTGTGCCCCTGATATCCCAATCAATATGAAGACCTTGTCAACAAAAACCACTGTACAGGCAAATCTGAAATAAGCTCATGGTCTACATCAGTCAGAGCCAGACAGGGAAAGACGGAGGCAAGGAAGGAAGAACGAGGCAACAAAAATAACTTCCCCAGAGAAGCAGGAGCTCAGACAGCTCCTTTTTAGGAAAATGAATGTGGCACATGTCCCGTCATAAACAAAACTATAGGTAAGTAACTGGAACTGCAGGTGCAGTTCTGACTGCAGTTCTGACAGTCCATGACTTTCTGTTCTCACTCAAGTCAGCTCTTCACCGTAACAAGATTTATTCATTCAACATTTATATTTGTTACCTTCTCATAAGCTTTTCTTTTTGTTTCAGAGTCCATCCAGTCATTTTCCTTTTCCAACATGTCAATAAAAGCCCAGCGAATTCCTTCAGTCAACTCCTCCATCTGCAAAACATGTAGCAAACCTCTCCCCAGTAAAATATGTCATGGTAGAATCACTGTAAGAAAAGATTTTGTGCATGCAGGAGTGATGGATTTGGTTAGACCATGAATGATTCAAAATCAGACTGTATCTGCTGTTCTTCTTGAAGGCTAATTTCTTCTTTCTCCAGCCCTCAGACACTTCTTCTGAAAATAAGCTTCTTTCCAATTTCTTTTCCTTCAGGTGTACTGTTCATTGCTGATCCTTTCATGTCACCATTGTGAGAATGTCTGTCTTGAAATCATAAAAAATACCGGGAAATTTGCAGTGATTTGGGGAGATTGCAGAGATTTGGTTCTAGATCACCAGCCCCATAGAAGAAGGATGCAGCTGCAAGGCATTTGCACAGATAAAGCCTTTTCTGCCAGAGAGCACATTTGTAGCCTTGTATGGTTTATGTCAGACTGAGACATGCCCTATTAACACTGACAAAGGACTGAATTTGGGCTGACAGTATCATGATCCAAATACAAAGCGGTATCCAAATATTTAGCCTGTATTTAGCCATAGCTGTGACGTACTCCTACCCTTCACTTACTGCAGGGATAGAGGCTGTGGCTAACAACACTGAGCAGCCTTAACTGCTTCTGTGGTCTTGAACCACCAGTGATAGCTTGCATCTGTGCAAAGCAAGGAAAACCCACCACCATTTTAGCTTGGCTACTTCTTCAGACACCTACACAAAGCCATGAGCATATCACAAGCAAGTAAAAAATAAAAATAAAAAAATAGGAGTGTTTAGTGAGTATGCACACTAAGAAAACCCTGAAATGACAGAAAATAGGAAATTTAAGAGATGCATTGTATCAGTCTGAAGAGCAGAAATGCCCTCATGACTATGTATCCATCTGGCAGCACAAACCAGAAAGGTGTATGCAATCAGTTGCTTCTGTTGATATCAGTAGATGAACCCCACGAAAGATAGCCATTGAGAATACTGCCAGAGTGAGGCAATTTGGGGGATCCACCAATCACTGGAGTCCTTTAGCACAGACCAAACCAGAGTTGAAATAGCACAAGACATGACAGATAATCATTAAACAAAGACTTATTGGATCTTTGTGTTATCACGTTACATTTAAAAATAATGAAAATGTCAAGGACCAGATATTTATACTTTTTTTTTTTCTACAGAACTGGTAGCTCTGAAATGTCATTAAAAGTGGGGACTAAACCCTGTAAAGTAATTTTACCTTTATCTAAATTGTCATTTAAGTATCAGATGTACATTTTGATCTGTAACTGTTCTTTATTTATGGTGGAGCCAGACAAATCATAGCAAAGCTCCTTTGATTATTCATTTTTTTCCTACCCTTTTCAAAAAACATTTCCTTATTTTTAGACACAATATGAGACAACTGGAACAAGTCTAGCATTAAATATGACTAAGCAGTCAACATTCCCAGTAAACTGCATCCCAGGGAATAGGGTAACTTAAAGATATTGATGACAGAGCACTGACTCAATTAACTTAGTGCACTAATGAGGTGAACTGCCTGTATTTGGAGGTTACAAGTTCAAACTCAAGCTCTGCAGCTGGGCCCTGGTGTATACTTAGGCTTTATGCACCAGCTGTAGCTGTAGGGGGCATGGGGAGAAACCTATTCCTGCTATCAGAGTTATTACTGAAACTGCTCAGGCATAGCTGTAAGAAACACTGCAGGCACTCTGGGTTAGGAACAGTGCTATATTTAGACACAAATAATGTCTTTCTTGATAAAAGGAGAGAAGTATCTAAGGTATGAAACATCAGTGACAAAATATGAGGGAAAAAGAATCCATATTATCCATAACTCAGGATTTGCTTATCCTAGACCAATATATAATATAAGCCGGGG